TCATTTTTAGTTTCATGTGTATCATGAATTGTGAACATAATACATTTCTGAGTTTGAAAATCACCAACAATCATGAAAACTGGAGCCAAACTGAATAAATTTTAAGCCTTTGACAAAGCCAGAAAATATCCGATTTTCTGGCAATTCAGCAATCGTCCGATTATTCTGATCTATCGATTGCACTTAAATCATATTGCATTTTGTCTTCAATACGATCAGTACTTAGACTGTCGATCAATACGATCGTATCTTCCAACGTTTACGCGAGAGCATACTTAATTGGGAATTGGTCACTCAAAAGTCATAAATCCTGACTACTAACCATAAGCTGTGCATGATCTAAAAGTTTAATTGGACTCGAATTCAACTCGTTATTCGACTATAAACTGAATGTTCTTCAAGTACTTTGGGATTAATCCTCAATTTTCCAGTTTTTGTCATTTGCTTTCTGCTCTCCCACATTGCATGCCACATACTGGTAGTCTGGCAGGATCCTGAGCTTTTTGTACTGTTGGGGGTATCAGCTGGATAGAGAATAGAACAATTGCGATGAGAAAATTCGAAAGTTTCGGAAACAACTGTCGTGTATTCATTGATTGATTGCAGCTGAATCATGCTTTATTGCATGATTAATATCTACTTAAGTGTATTATCCGCCTGTTTACTTACAAAGCTTGTACTGTAAATGATATGGATTCATGATTATGATGTGGAGCATACATAATGACTGATGACACAGCAACAACAGTAATTGTGTGCACTCCGTACAGCATCAGATGATTTTTCCAATTTCATTATTCAGTTTCGTTCCGTCGTCTTGTTTGCGTTCGTCAGTATTGTTGTTGAAATTCGAAACGGTAGTTCGAATTGCGAATGATGCACGATAACGAGAAACGGGAGTGTATGAGTGCATGAGAGTAATTTATCGTGGTGGAAATTCGCTGAAAACCTCTCTGACTAGTGAAAATCGTCTGAGTTCAGTTGAGCAGCCATCATCTAACAAACGCTTCATTCAGACNTTTCCTATACTATTAAATAAACTAAAACTGAAATAAGATCAGTAAGAAGACGATTCAAACAAGAACAGTTAACATCAACAATGCTTTTTCAATCTGAGCTTACTAGCTTATTGTTAACACTCGTCTAATGCGTTTCTCATGTTTCCATTCAACACAAATGGGTTATTTCGAGAGATGTGGTGGATAAGGCTTATGTTTGCTTAATGAAACACTCTGTAAGCGTTCTCTCTGTGCATCTAGTGATAGTCATCCTTGGAAACGTATCCCTATATCAAGAGATTTTTTTTCTGATCCTACAAATGCACTTCTGTAAAAGATTTCAGAATCTTAAACGATATTTGCTTATATACTCTCAGAATTTGTTTGGTACCAAATGGAAGCCATATATTCTTCATAGAAAGCATCAGACAGCTCTTTGATAGAGCAAATTCTCATTTCAGAGTAAACTCGATTCTATCAGTACCATTTTTGATCTATCAACTAAGTTTTTCCAATTGTTCACTTTTCTGCCGGCGGCTTCTACGAACTTTTTCATTTTTCTCTGAATCATTTTCACTCGTCTTAAAATTGTCTAACTCGAATTCGTGGATAAATTTCTCGAAACGCTCTCATAATCTCAATCGTCACTTCACCCCGATGGAGACCTCGTTTCCATTTGATTGCATGAAAACGGTTTGAGTTTGATGTGGCAAATCTATGTGGACGTTCAGTTCCAAATGTTAGTTTAGCTGTGTTCCCTTACCTCTTTGCAGTATCCAAACCACTCTCTACTGTATTTTTTGAATGTAAACAGCTGATTAAACTTTTCTTATTGAAAACAAACTCGCTTTCTACAGCTTTTCATTTTGTTCGATACGCTGCAGTTAACTGCCACATAGCATCAAATTATTCAAGGCTATTTTTCTCAGAACAACCTTTTCCCATCCGTTGAGAGCTACACGTGGATCAGAGAATCGCGCCCATATTATCCTATAGTCATTCATTCGGTTAGCATCAGTTACTTTGTAAGGTCGGTAGTGAACGAATCTCGCTCAAAAAGGTATGTTCTTGCTTCAGTTCGCATTAATTTTCAATTTCAGCTAATGCTTCTCCATTTTCTATCTCACGAGATTGACATTTCGTTGTGCAGTATCTCATAATGTCTATTCTGTCTTCAATGAGACTGGTAACCATACCTACGGGAAACATTTGTATAAGATTTCAGCTTTGCTGGATTAAAAAAATGAAGAAACAATTCTCGCATGCCATTCAAATGAAATCTGCTCATACCATTTCAAAATCAAGCGGATGAATGTCAATGGATCTTATGATTAGCTGAATCTACTGAGAAAACTGATGATTTCCAATGAAATTATACACTCATCGTTCGATATTTCATGGTTTTTGGGAACATTTCGGTAACGAACTGAAATCATCATGACTCATGAATCGCGTTCAAATTCAAATTCAAGCGATCATTTAAAAGGACTTTACTTAGTGTCCTTTCAGATAATCGGATTTCCAGTTAACTTTTCATCAATAAAGAGCGAATATTTTTGCTGCCGTGAACAATGATTATAATGAGACGATGTTATTGATGATATGCAATCATTTTAAGGATTAACTGAACATTTTTATGAATAAATTAAAATCTGTCATGGATAATATGCATATTGCTTATACAATCTACTATAGTGCAGTGTCATTGCTCATCGCATTGTATTCTCTGTTGAAGAGCCGCATTCAACTCTCAACTCTTATATAATTTCCTCGCAGATGATGAGTCAGTCCCTAAAGCCAGCAACTACTCTTTGAAGCATTTTCATTTCACTGCATGATGCGTTCGATTCAGCTAGATTTTCAAAATTTAGTACTGTTTACCACATTCATCATTTTCTTCTGCTTCACCATCTAATCCCATTGAACACTGCAATTCAGATTAGGTCACGAACAGTCCAACTGATGACCATCTCATGAATTTTTGTTCATTAGAATGTCTGCACTTTTATCATACAGTCAGTGAATGTCTTCAATTTATATAAAGTGTGTCTATCAAGTCATACTTTTAATGACATATTAACCATCATCATTGCTAGTAAGAATATTATCTTCAATATCCGACTGTAAGTCATACTCTTGCCATCTCCAGCTTCATCAACTGACTGTTGATTTCGATAGAGTCCGACATGTTGCGAAATTCAGCGAATTTTCAATAGCAACTGTATTATGTATGAAGAGTTTTGTTGTGGTTTTACATGAACGCGAATTCAAATAATTACGACAGTTCAATGCAAATCATTTACTAATAAATATCATTTCAGGATCATCCGTCAACATGCTTTTATACGCGTAAGTCTGAAGTTTAATTTTGCATTATCACAATACCTCATCTCATTGTCAGTGACGAAACATTGATCCTCAACAATGATCAATGAATAAGTTCTACTGTACACGGCATACATCAAACATACGAAAAAGAGCGAATGTTAAATTACGCTCGAAGCTCGGCATGAAACTTCGCATTGAGAAATTGGAATGCGTCTTCCTTTTTAAATTGAAATTGGATTGCGTGTCTTTTTTTNTTTTTTTGGGGAAGGGAACAAATGACATTTCAGGATTGCATTGCTTTTCCTGGCATCGAACGTCAACGCCGGCTTGTTTTCCGATGTAACAGAGATTAAAAACGGCAATACCACTTGTGTTATTGAGGTATCACTTTCGGCTGTTGGCACACTTCAGTTCAAAATATCTCACCGCAACTTTTGGCAAAAACTTCGTTCTGATCGTCGTGAATATATGTCACATATGTGGGCGAAGTCCACTGAATGAGAGAGAGCTTTAAGCACTCACTCGAAGTTTCCAGAATAGAAATTGTGAATGAATAAAAACAAATTTGAGTTCCACCAGAAGTTGTATTGAACTAAATGTGAAATGTACCCATCTCATAGATATATTAACCGAATAAGAATCAGCGCAAGAAACCTTTTTCAGAATGGAGAACTGACCATTGATGGTGTCAAGAAAGGGAATCTCACCGAAGCTCAAAAGGAAGAGTTGAAAAAATATAACGAAGACATGGACACGTTTACAAACTCATGGTTGACCAAGGTTCGAAGCATTCGTTTTTTTGTATCAAATCCCGTTCAAATGGGAACCTAATCAGTTGAACTCACATCATGATCTGATGCTGTTTTCTCTTGAAACAATCAATTTATAGCATATTTGGGCAAATGTTAGTGAACCATTGCATATTGTTTTCACATATATCAATAACAATGAGCACGGTATCCTCGCTCTGGAAAATCATTTAATGATCTTTTTTACAGTTGCTAAATCTTCATGAAATTTTTTATGTTCACACTATTACGTACAGTAGAAGAGATGAAGAATTTTTCGAAAATTTGAGTTTCAAAAGTCTCGCAGAGCAATGATAGAATTTACAAGTTTCGTGCTCTTGCAATCGCCCTCGTAAGTGATCCGATGGCATGATTCGCTGATCACAGAATCTGTGTGGGAATAATGGTCTGTTTCAGATGATCGAGAGTATTAAGAGTGCATTCGCGAGTGTGTTCGGCTCAATGTGGCATGGTTCTGAGGATGAGAAAAAAGCCGAAAAGCCCGATGGACCAGTGACTGCCAAACCAAAAGGACCAGTTGGTCCTCATTTCCCCAAACCACTGTCATTCTGTCATGCGTAATCTTCGAATCTTCTGAATCAATCCATCAAGCGTCAAAATATTCACGCCACACAGTCACGTTTTCGTTTTTCCGTCATTCATATCATCCCAATATGTCTGTCTCTCTTACTCTCTCTTTAAACTTCTTATATTCGGTCAACTTTATGTTGAAAATTAACAAAATACCATAAATTCTTAGCTATAATCGCGCTCAAATGTTGCAATCATCCTCTCATGAAACATTGAAATGCTAAAAAACATCTTCCTTCCATTTGTTGACGTCTAAAATCATCAATTACATCTGTCACTGCATAATACTCATAATAAAAATGAAGATGCCAACAGTATATCCAATGTCAATAAACGAACACGAACAATAAAACGAACATCCTGTTGAACTGTCAATGAAGCAGTCAAAGACCAATACTATCGAAAGAGACCTCGGGATAAGGTTTCAACGTTCCATGAAATGACAATTATGGTGATGAAAAATTCTCAACTTCATTTTGAATAAAACTTTCGGTTTGATCGACATTATCAATTTCGAATTGATGATAATTTCGCATATCTCTTGGATGTTCAGTAATGCATCGTTATATTACGATTCATTAAATTTAGGTAATATCAACGCATCAGAACAAATGGTAATTTTACGTAAACCGAAGTGATTGATTGCATCAAGAAATCATGCCGGAACAAGGAAACTACGGAAGACATCTAAGCATATCGTCAACCACACCAGCTCAAGTCATTCTAATTGTCTTTTCCAACAATCCGCATTTCCTTAGACTTGTAAAAAAAGCTCCTTCAGTGGAGGATTCGCATAGAGCTTCGATGGCGCCATCCAATTTTATTTTCCGAATATAAACATATTCACTTATTTTAGTCAAAAAACCCAATGATCGATGAAAAAATAACTGATGCTGAATACAGAAGTATAAAGTAAAAAAAGTTCAGCCATAAAAGTAATCAAAGGGAAGAGTGTTTTATGATGGAAATTGCCACAGAGATACCTACCTTGAGAGACTACTCTCATTTTAGATGTTGAAATACACACACACATATATATATCTAATCAAACAACTACGATTATGTGTAACAAAGTATTACATTATAAGGTAATGAAGGACAAGATTGTACTTTTTTTTGAATTTTGCATTTAGACGACAAAAATTGGACGATGAGTAAACAAATGAATAAATAAATAACCAAACAAAAACAAATTTATGAGATCATCAAAGCCATCTTTTACGCGATGTTCAAAGTTTCAAGCAAGGCCAATCTCAGCTAAATCTCAGACCTCTTCAATAGGATTCAAAGGCATAAAGAGGAAGAAGGATGTGAGTAGTGGTGATTGTCGTTCGCTTTTTCTCAACTAATACGTCGTCCTTGAGACGAAAACAAATTGGGAACTCAACTGGGCTCAATCAAAAATTCCAAATGACCGTGCTATCTATCTTTATATGTGAAATTGACGCTGGCTCATCGAAAGCTGTTTACTTCAATGCGATTTTTTGGCTGTTACAATGTAAATATTATGATGGATCTCATAACAATGAAGATTCGTTATTATTATTATTATTGTTATTGAAATGACCTGTTTTTGCGCAATTTTTTTGAATTGATATTTGCGATCAGAGGAAAATGAGAAGAGAAAAATATTCATGGATGGACGATGCTTTGGATCTGCATTCATCGAATTGTTCTGTTACCGTATTTACAATTTGACTGTTCCCAGGGATGTGAAGATGAAAACAGAGATCGGATCAGAAATAAACTATTCAGAAGCAATGCAAATCGAGTTACAATGAATGGCCAGGCACATCGATTCCGATATTTCCAAATAACAGCTATTATATAACTCCTTGTTCTTGCAACGTCTTGATCTTAAGTTATCTCAACAAGTGCAACTTCTGCGTTGCAATTCGTTGAATAACTGTGAATGGAGGACAAAAGACTCTCACTATTCCTTTTTGTCTTATGCTATAATCCAATTGAAAAACACCCCCATCTGATTGCCACTAAATTCATTTCGTATCTCGAAAGTGAACGTTAAACTTTCGAGCAAGATATGAGTAGACTCTTAACTTCCACCAACTAATGAATCCGCTTAAATATGGCGCTATCTGTTATGTTATTGCGCAATCACTTCAATGCATTTCTGCTACTGTATTCTGAATCAATCACACGAACTGAATGACGAGCACTTGAATGGACACTGCGGGAAGTGAACCTTACAGAAAGTCCTTCGAAATAGTTAATTGCTGAGCAAATTTTCGAAAATATCAACAGAAAATTGCAGACATTGCGGATATTTTGTGATCTCAATTGATTTCTGTTGTGTTCACTCAGCGAACACACACTCTCAAGAGCATCAAGCTATTATGTTTCACTCAAGAAAGTCAAACCAAGTCAAGGTCTTTGAATATTTTGTGAAAGTATCAAAGAATGAACCAATTACCAAATAATTCTTATTATATAAAGACGACGACAGCCATGGTCATCAGAGTAACAAGTTATGCTCCGAATGCCATTGTTATCGCTAACAAATCGCCACCGACATGGCTGTGCGCTGCAAAATGATTTTGGAGCATCTGCTCTTGAACGCATCCACTCGTCTTTTACCTCCTCCTCATTCAATCATATCATCATGATGAACCTTGAGCCTCACCTCACTTTTTTCAGTTAACCTTCATTTCACTTTCAAAGAAACCTTCCTTAATATCTCCGCCCTCCTGCATCTGAAAGTGACATAAATATTGCTCCAAAATTTCCGACTTCATCGCATATCATCACAAGCATTTATTTGCATATCCTTTTATTGGTTGTTCTGCACAGCTCTTCGATATCTGTCGGTTGGCAATACCAACAGATTTCTGAATCAACATTATCATAAGTGCCTTACTGTTCATATTTATAAGACTGTTGTAGCATCATCCCAGCGATATTACCCCNCCCCAACATAAAATGATCTCATTCAGCCATTCACTTTCAATGATTATCACGTTCATTTTCTGTTATTCACATCCAGCTCAAGCCAGTTCATACCTTGATAATGGTGTCATTGGTTAGTTTTGTGTTTCTGTCCAACAGCACATTCAAAGTAAATCTGAAACAAAAATTCCGTAGAGATTCCAAAAAAAAAAAGATGGCCAAAAAATGGCGATTTCCTTGTTGGCTTCCTTTATATCAGAGCATTATTTATCTCTTCCACAGCTCTGAGAACGACAAAGAAACACTCAAACAAAGTGTTTCTTTACGAAAAGTTAATATCACAATTAAAAAACAGAATCCAAAATATCCTTCAACTACAGGCTTCGTGGTACTGATTTGGTTTCTAAAATTTGAAATTTCATTAACAGACCAAATTTTATCAATAGATCAAATTGTTGGACACCATTAAGAATTTTTTTCCACTTATGAGAAAGTGATTGCAAGTCATTGATGATGTTATATCATTGAACAGCGATTCGCCATAACCACAACATCATTTCAGGTGTTCCTGAAGTCAACTGCATGGAAGATCGCGTTAAGCTGACTTTCCGGACCGAGCAGCCTTTCACGGGACGTATATTTGTGAAAGGAATGATTGCAAAGGATCAATGTGTTCGTTCGTTTAGCGGAAACACAAAATCAACGATCGACTTTCAGATGAACAATGGACAGTGCAATATGCGACGTTCCAGAAAGGTATTCATTCGCATTCTATCCTCTGAAAGAACCATTATTATCGCAGCTTAAGAATATCACTTAAGCGTGTCTAAATCGCACTCTTCCTCACATAAATCTCGCTATCGCAGTATACTGATGAAATTGAAACATCTATTCTTCAGAACATACCTCTGCTTTGAAACTAAATTAAATAAAATCTAAATTAAAATACAATTACGATGTGAGGTTTAACACTCGAGAATGAACTAACTAGAGGTAATTTGGAAGCACATCAATGAACAATTGAAGAGTAAAAGCCCTAAGAAAAAGCGTACTTCAGAGCTAATGCCTCATCACTAATTGGGTAAAAAAAAGATGACCCTTAGTTGAGGGTGAAGGTCGTTCATTTTAAATTTGAAACTGAATTTTTCATTCTTTGTAATTTCACTTTTATGCGCTAAACCGCACCACAACTAATTACTCACTGCGCAGTTTTTTATTCCGACTTCAAATGGACATAAGAATCAACGAATATTTCTTCCTCAAATGTCATTGGTTATTGATTCCTAACAATCGACATTGATCTCATTCCTATCACTATTCACCACCAAAGAGGCCAGCACAAATTCCAGTGAACTCTCTGAAAATCTTTGAATTGTTGACTTTGACTAACCTTTTAAGACGAATTGTTTGGAATATATTTGAAAAAATTATACCTTGAGAAATCTAATAATTGCATAAGTAATTACAAACTGGAAATTATGATCACAAAGCGGATATCACTTTTACATCTGAAGTATCCGCAAGTGATCAAAACCTCCAAAAACATTCAGGTAACTTTTGCGATTCCAAACAACGGATATATTCTTTGCATTCATCGTCATCTGACTGTTTGAGCAGTCAGCTTGTTCACAAATTCAATTTCATTAAAATTACCTCCTCTTCATGCCGTTTTCAAATCGCTAATCATGCAAAAGAGATGAGTGGACAAGGTCAAGAGCAATGAAAATACGAACTTCAATTGAGATCAATTCAATGCTACTCTCTTCTATGAATCGCATGCTGTCTGTTCGCAGCAACTCTTAAGTCGGACTCATTGAACACTTGACAAACTTCTATAATAACAATATAATAATAACAATACTAATAATAACAAAACTTAAATAGTGCTTAGTAGATTATTATTATTATAAAATTATTATAAAAAGAAAGATAGCAATTGAAATGACCTCGCTAAACTACTCCACTTTCATGAATTCTTACAGTTTCTTTCGCATTACATCTTCAGAAGATGCCTCACAATATCGTTCACTCATCAAACACAATTTCACGATTCATTCCAACTTTTCTATAAACAGTTAAATGGTCGTAATGAAACTACCCGTCTCTTTCTTTGTTACTTCTGAACAACTTGAAAATGAGGCTCAATAACTTGCAACTGCTGCCATCACTGCAAAAAAGCAGCCACAATGAGAAAAGTCCGATACTGATCGAACATTCAATGTTCAGCTTTGAGCTCAACTAAAGCGATATTGCAAAATTAAATCACAAATTTCCTTCCATTGATCGCCAACCATTCGCAATGTTTAATATCTGCCAATGTTAACGTCTTTCATCAAGTGAAGAATATCTTCACATGAAATGAAAGCCTTACATGATGGATATGTATCACTTAAGCCTTCCCTCTCTTGCCTAACTTAAGCACGTGTAACTGCACTTTCATTCCATTTGCAATCTCCAGCCTGTGCTCTCGATCGCAATTCAACACTCTTTCCGAATTTTTCATCCACGCAATGTTCATTCAGGTTGGCCCCGAGCAGAAAGGCGTTGAGCAATCCATCACAGTAATAATCTCCTTCCACAACACGTTCATCACAAAGGTGGATCGTGCATATCGTTGTACTTGTTTCTATATGGAAGCTGATAAGGTGGTGACGAGTAGATTCGATGTGAGGTGCGTTTAGCAAATCATACTTCTTCACCATTTCAATGTAGCATTCGATCACTGAATCGGTTCATCATGCTTCAAACGATTTTGATCTGTTCATGATCATATCAATCAGTGTAACTGTTCTTCATGACAGCTCAATATTTTTGGCTTAATGGTTTTGGTAAGAACATGATATCTTTTGTGAGAACGCTCAACGCAACTCCGCACTTTCAATACTCTGATGTAAACCTAAGAAAATTTCTGAAGACCTAAGATATGTTCGCTGACCAATTGTGAATTTTACGAGCGAACATGTCTCACTTCAAGCAATGTTACTAACGAGAGAAGCGAAATTCGAAATTTCATTGGTGAGATAATCTATCAAAAAGCTTTCAGTATGTTGCCAACCACAGATCTTATTGATACAGCTCGAATGCCACTGTGCACTTACACGGTGAGACGAGCTTCTGTCACCGGTTCGCCGGTTTCGTTCGCTACTGTTGGTGAACCAGTCTTTCACGTGTGGCAATGCGAAAGTGGTAATGGGTTTATCTTTTGAGGATATTATCAGTCATGGTAGCAATAGTCATAAATATGAGTTACTGATCAGTAATGATATCGATGATAACATCACTAAGATTATCACAATGTGAATAATGCAGAGGTAGTAATAATATCAGTGATAATATCACTATCAGTTTTGGCAGCATTGAAAGATGCTCGCTTCATAACGAAACCATTGATAAACATTCACTTGATGAGAACATTTATAAGTACTATGAGGTGATGTACGGCACTAAAATTAAATAAAGACCTACTATCACATAGATTTGATAAACTTAACTTGTTCTTCAATTCTAACCATATTTCCAGATATGTTCTCAATGCTTGTCCACAGTTGTTTTGTCGACGATGGTAATGGACAAGACAGAAAGCCTCTGATCGATGAAAATGGGTACGATATTCCTTCTGATAGTCAAATCACCTTTTCAAAAATTCTGCATTTGAATCAACTAGCAAGCAAGAAGTCAATAAAATACATCACAAAATGATACCGCACTCTTTCAAATGCTAACACCGCAAATCTATTCGTCAGCGAAAATTCGTCACGAAGTTGTTCGCATGCGTGATAATTCTTCAAAATAGCCACCGTTCAGGTGTTCGATCGATGAAGCACTCGTTCCCAATCTCACCTACAATCCCGACAAGAATATGGCATTCTCTGAAGTGAGCGTCTTCAAATTTGCCGATAAAGTCAGCACATACTTTCAATGCGCCGTCTCAACTTGTATGAACTCCGAAGGAATGTGCCAAAGCAAAACGGTACGTAATATATTCACATCACTTTTCACTTTTCCTCATGCTATCCAGCACAACATTCGTGTATTACCATCATAATATGCTTGTAAGCAATCGAGCACTGTACGGTAATGATGACCACTGCAAATTGGCATTAATTATCTCACAACAACTGCAACTTGACCATAAAGACCGTACCAATATCATGAAAATAATCAGTTTACAGCCTCCACGTTGCGGTAGTTCACCAACAAGATTCGAAAAAGACGAACAAGACGAACCAGAAGCAGACGATACGTTCGATCCGTACCAACAACATGTTCATCGTAGAGCACGCAGCGTGCGAACACATCCGTCACTGATCACTCAGCAGTCAAACCATTCCAATGATAATCTTATCACATTCAAACCAAGCAGGAGTCCCTTCAACGACGCTAACACAATGGATTTATCAGCTAATCCAATAGTGGTTTTGGACCTTGACGAAAATACTCCTCAAGATCCAGCCGATACACCCAAAGTACCCAACTGTCTTCTTATTACCGGATCTTTTTATTCTTTTAATCCAGTGAAACTTATTGCTCCCGATGATACGTTCTCTTCATGATTGGAGACTGTTATCAATTGGAATACTTCGCTAGAGAAGGGTTGATTTCATACCATATCATACCATTTCATACCACAGCAACTTTTCATCACCTCGTTTTGAAAAAGTTCCTGACATTACAATTCAAATGTCCAACTGTTCCCATAAAATTGCACTGAAATGCTGACAGCAATAGTTCTTGAATTATTCCACTTTTTATGATCATTTCCCGTTGATCTAACCGGGACTATTAACGAGACCAATTAATAATAAGGCTAATAAACCGAGAAGGTCGATTATGGAAATTTAATTATAGCTTGAAATTGTCTCATTTACTTGACACAATAATGGAGAATTATTCGATGTGCTCTTCAAAAGATTAAGTTATCTTCTTTTCAAATAGTTGCCCACAACAAGAGGAGAACATCCAAAGGAAACTCAAATGAACCTGATTTCAGTTCGATGCGTTTGCGAATGATCGCACACTGCTCTCCGATGGTGGTAATCGTGTCTGCTTGAGTTCAACGGTGGCCATTTTATTAATCGCGACTTTTGGTCTTTCAGTGATGACCACTGCGACGATTGTCGTCCTCTTATCGNTGCATTAAGAGCTCTTTCTTGACACTCGGATCGCTCCTCGAAACACTAATGAATATATCCTCAAATTGTTCTTGAAGAGCGATTTTAATACACACTTCTAAAATGTCACATATTAATAGTTCATTCATAGTTTTATTGTTTCTTTAATATCGCTCGCTATAAGCCTTACGCATAATTGCTCATAGACGCACCACTCATCTCCACTTCAAGTAGATCTTTCCTATGATTTCGCAACTTTGTTTTGTTTTATTCAATCTTCACTTATGCATCAGTGTCATGCTGTGTATTAAATTCATCTTCTGATTGACAGTAAATGATTTATTTACTGCTGAATCACAGATCATTTAACCGGTCATCATGCCTGCTCACAAACACCATATGAATTCCTTCAATGGCATAAAACTCATCCTCAAAGATTACTCGCAATCTGTTTCATTTTAAACTTGTAAAATTTGTTTCATTCTATAATGGATTGCAGAAAAACTTTCAAACTCTGCCAACTGAATGAGTTGGAATAAGAGAAAAAAGAACAAAAGCGTGAAAGCAAAACAAGGGGGCACCCGGATTTGAACCGGGGACCTCTCGATCTGCAGTCGAATGCTCTGCCACTGAGCTATACCCCCACCGTTGTTTGTCGAGCACCACATGTTGTAATGAATTATGCTGATTATGAGAGAAAAGTGTGCTCGAATGAACTGAACCAAGTTCGAAACTTGTTTGAATCTATTCAGAACTGTTGTTACATCTCACATTCAAGCACATGCACATCAGAAGCACGACCGAACTAAAAAATTCTATCCATTCACCGTTAATCACGCATAAAGAGTATCAGATGAGCCTCTTGATTGGCGAAGAGAAGAGAAACGAAATCGTTTGCGGGGCATCTATCTCCTCAGAAAACTATTCGGAATACATCAGTTTATTTCTTTTTACAGTGGCACGACAACTGTCGTCAAACGAACTAAATCCGTCAGGCCGAAAACTTACATAATGTGAGCATTCCATTAACTTTTATCTATTATATATACTACTATAAGCCGATTGCTCGGAGTATTCCGTTAAAATCGCCTCCAGATCAACAGTTATCTGATGGGCGGATGGATGGCACATTATAAATCAAATGTTTATCTCGATATTCTTCCTTTTTCAAATGTTATCGACGAGGACGTCACTCAACATTTTACAATATGAATGAATGATGTCCTGGCTTAGAACCCGGAAATATGCAAATAAGGATTGTGTACAATTCAATCGCTCTTTTCATTCGTTCATATCGCAGTTTAGTTATCTATTCATTACGAGAGTAGCGGTTGTGATTTGAACGATAAAGATATTAACAATTGCGGAATCAGATATTGAGTGATGTGGGAGTGCTTAGTGAGGCTAATACGTAATCGGTTACATAATCGTAGACAGTGATTGCGTAATTTGTGTGAGATGAACAACAGCACAGAAAGGTTATTCGGATTATGCTCGGACGAGTCGGCGGCTTCTCTTTGGATAAAGTAGTTTTATTGAGCGAACGCATTTGAAATGTGCCATCGAACGCGATGTAATAGCATCCATCGCAAATAAAACAATAATAATATTATACAAGGCATAATTATTCAACTCTTTCACATATTCATGTTATTATACAATAAAGGTATTTGTTTGCCTTATGCTCTTATACGTCCATATGCAATATTCATCTTTTAGTATTTCCTCTCTGATCTGAAAGAATTCATTCCATACGCAAATAACCGTAATGCAATCAGAGGTCACCGTTTGCGCATTCACTAAAACACATTTTGAACTCATAAGTTACTTAAGTCAATGTGTACACACACAGCCCTTTTGATCATTGACGAAATTCATTTTCTCGGTTGAAATTCAGTGTCGCTTTAGGGCAACTCAACAACTTTGCATTATCCAACGACAACATATATATTTTTCTGATTGTGAGTGTAGAGAATCCCAAGAATTCGATTACGTAATCGAGTCGTATGGTGCTGAACAAATCTGAGGATACAGCTAGTTCGAAGATGGTATTCGTGAGTTGACCGACTGACTGACAGTGAGATCAAATCTATAGGTTGTGGCAGCATAATGTTGTNCGGGAACATATATACTTTTCTGAAAGTAGAGAATTTTCTGAACCAGACAGTGTCAAAAAACTTGCATGTTGCTGGGCAAAGCTGAGAGTACAGCTGTTTTCAAGATGGTACTCATGGAAGGCGTACAGAGTAAGGCGACATAGTAAAATCGCTCAGCTATTTGATATACCCTCAACTGTTCACCTATATCTCCTAGAGTATGCAAAATCAGTCGATATTCGCATGATGCTGATTGGTAGCAGACCTGAGGGTACATACAGTTCGCTTGAAAATGGTATTCAAAGAACTGAATTTTTGTCCAGATGAATCAGAGGTTCACTGCGAGCCATCTCAAGACTGTTGTCCCGAGATGCACATAATTTTGGCTTTCAAATTTGCTTCTTGGTGTTTCTATGAATTTGAGGATATCAACTAAATTCTTTACGCTGTCATACTCTGAGGAACTTGAATCGAAACTAACTGAAAAATAACCATTCACAATTGTATTCATATATTTTTCTTGCGGAATTATGGTTTGATTGAGGGAGGAGAGGGAGTTATTTGTATTGTACACTAAAAAAAGTTTCGAAGAATAGGGGAGGGGATATGGGATGATTGCATATTAGCACATTGGCACTGTGCTAGTCAAGGTTCTTACGCATTCTCATGTGATTGCGTAATGCAAGGTCACGCGATCTTCACTCGATTATATTCCCACTAGCAACAGCAAATAGTACTCGTGCTCGGTCACTCTCCCTTGTTTTGTGACCGATTGACCAGCAAACGGCTGGTTTTCAACGCTCTGTGCTCAAGCAATTGAGTGACCTTTTCAACTCTTCCAATCCGTCGTAGTTTAGTCTCAAAGATTTATAACTGAGGATATATAACAATCCAGGGAATTTTGTTGAATCTTTTGTTAGATTCACGCTGATATAAGGTCAATCCCAAGCTGCTTGATTTCACATTCAACTTTATAAACTTATTGCATATGTTGACCCTATAAAAGAACTATTTCACGTGTCCTGCTTGCTACTCCTTTATTCTATGCATGATAATTTGCCAATTTTCAGCATATTCTTCCTATAATGGCAACTGTTGTCAATGGTGAGATCAGCAAATCGCCAATACCATCATCACGTGCGTCATATCCAATGTATCGACGGAAACTGTTTACTCGACTCAGCGGCCCTCATGAATCTGGCCAAGGAGATTCAAATTTCACCGATACCTCGTCGCCTGCGAATGTTTCGTCGAATCGGAAGAGATCCAGAACGAATGGCTGCTCGCGTTTTGAAGATAGTTTGTATGGCAATGTTAATGACGAAAATGTTGACGAATGTGATCACAATAAGATTCGCCACGTTGATATCAATAAAAGTGATAACTTTAATGATAACACTGATATAAACAATATGGCCAAACAAAATAACGAAGCAATATTATCGATGCATCTCAACGATGATATTGAGTCAACTTCTGCCTTCTCTCCACCGTGCCTCTCGCTCACTCCACCAGATCTCAACACCCAGCTTCTTTCATTTCAAAATGTATTCACGTCCAAACCATCAAACAATCAAATTCATCAGTTCAAACGAATCGATCTCATACTCTCATCGAATCGGTAACTTTCTCACCATTGCTTGTGTTGAAAACTCGTTTATGAAAGTTTCATTATGATGACATTGCTTCGAAACTAATCAAATTATTGTTGAAGTTCTACAATTCACGATAGTGCATGAATATCTGAGAAATACTACTGTTGTATCTGAGAAAAATAAGTTCCATCCATTCTGTCCAACTCATCATAAGAATTCTGCTTTTATCTTCCAGATTAATTGACTATTTAGTGATTAGTTGTTCAATCATTTTGTGCTTTATTACTTTCAAGTCTTTAAAATAGATGTTTTTGCAAATGATGATAAGTTTTCAATGAAAAATTCCGGATTTCTTTTCAACAAATGAATGTTTCAGTGAGATTTCGAAGCACAATGCTACAGCTTATGAGTGCTTCTCTCCTGAAACACTCTCTCAGCTCACTTCCTCAAGTGTAAGTTTTGTTTTATTTCAAAGTTTCTTTCCTTATATTCAAATGTTCACGTTAACATTTCCCACCATTCATTTTCTTGCCATTTTCTTCGCTCGCGCCACGGAATCACATCTGAAAAAAAACGTTACGTTAAATTGAAACTGCGACAATTGTCATAAATGCCCATTCAGTGCTTGCTTCCAAAAGCTTGCAACAGAAAATCAACACTTGGGAAGAAGCAGGCAGGTGTTATTGGATGAGAATTTCTAGTTACGTGTTTGAATCGATGAGGGGTGAAGAATGAGAAAATGACAGTGGGTGTATGCGTTCAATGATAAAAGTGTTGAGAGTGATTATAGCAAATCATACCTGTTATACGAACAATGAGACGAGAGTGAATGAGAAAACGAAATCGAGAGCACTCTTTTAATGTGAAAAGCTATGAGAGCGTTCTGAAAACGTCGGAAAAGATTGAGAATCCATTAAATGTTGATGAATTCAACAGTTTTTTGAGAAGCAATTTGTTCTAGTGAATCGCACTAGATGAAAGCGTTACAAAGCTAGTGATAAGCTGTAACAGAATGACCGGATTTACTTTCTCAGACCGAATTGGTAAGCAAACAAATCAATGCACTTGTAGAATTTAATTCCATATCTTTTTCCCACTGGATGTTCAGTCATACGAAGCGGGATGTCATTAGTATAGTTATCTATTATGCAACAATA